GGCTGGCTGAGGTCTGGGATGTCTCGCAGGCTGCTCTGAGGGTGCAGTGACAGAGTAGACATGTGGCACTTCTCCCGGGGCCTGGCCACCACTGTCACCATCAGCTAGCTGTGTGTGAAACACCAGTCTCGGCCTCCCCTACCTAGATCAGTGACTGCCCTAATTCTCTATGTGTGAACCTTCCAGTTTTATCTTTCACAGCTCCCCCGTTCCACCTCGCTCTCTAGCCTCACCAGACTGAACTCCATGAGACACGCCGCACCTCCGTGCATTTGTGCACTCTGCTCTCTGCCCAGAATTCACTTCCCCCGATTGTCCATCTGGATAACGTCTTCACCAGGGCTCCTCCTCCCAGAGCCTTCCTGACCCTCCCACAGATCCGGCTTTCTGTGCCTTGTCCCTCGGCTGTTCATGGGTGACATTGGCCCACCTGGAGGTGGAGGCAGGCAGGGCCCCCAGCTTGGTGGGGCCTTTCTTGGAGGCCATAAAAAGCAGCCCTGTGAGGAACAATAGATCCCAGCAGTCAAACACCAGGGCTCTGGAGCCCAAATCCATGGTTCAAAATCCACTTACAACTTTTGGGTACCTCTATTTTCTCATCTATAAAATGGAGACAGTACTTTCCTCCTAAGTGTGTTATGAGAATTAAATGAGAAAATTACATGGAAAGGAACGGAGCCCAAATCCATGGTTCAAAATCCACTTACAACTTTTGGGTACCTCTATTTTCTCATCTGTAAAATGGAGACAGTACTTTCCTCCTAAGTGTGTTATGAGAATTAAATGAGAAAATTACATGGAAAGGAACTGGGATTATCTGTGCTCCTCATGGGCTGGTGTACGGACATCTGACTCCCTCCGTGAGCTGGACTGCACCCCGGCAGCTGAGAACCCGGTCAGACTATGACCTGTAGCCCACTCCTGCCCCTTCCCAGCCCTGTGCCCCCGCTGGTCCTCCAGCAGCCTTCAGGCTTTGGTACCTTCACAGCCCCCACTGCATGCTACAGAGAAGGAAGGGCAGTGGCTGGAGTGCAGCAGTAAGTACCCAGGGCAGCGGCGAGAGGAAGCCAGCCCGGGCCAGCCTAGCTGGGTGCTGCTCTCACCCGTCTCCTCAAAGGGGCTGTTGAACAGAGTGGGGCCAGCAGTCCTTTCCAAAACCCGCCTAGTGGCTAGGCGTTAAGTGTTCACTGCCTGTCACAGGGCCCTGAGAATACATCAAGTTTAGAGAGGGTCAACCTCAGAGTAGGGGGTAGGCCGGTTAGCTAAGCAGTCATTTGTATTGCCCATTTCTTTCTCCATTCCACAAAGACTTCCTAAGCACCTACTATGCACCAGGCACTGTTCTAGACACTGAGACTACAAAGAGAGCAAGACTGACAGAAGTGGGCCCCAGGAGAAGTATGCCTGTGCCTGTGCCTGTGAGTGGGCAGCCACTCTGGAGTGCAGCAGTAAGTACCCAGGGCAGCGGCGAGAGGAAGCCAGCCCGGGCCAGCCTAGCCAACCCCGTCTCCTCAAAGGGGTTGTTGAACAGAGTGGGGCCAGCAGTCCTTTCCAAAACCCGCCTAGTGGCTGGGCGTTAAGTGTTCACTGCCTGTCACAGGGCCCTGAGAATACATCAAGTTTAGAGAGGGTCAACCTCAGAGTAGGGGGTAGGCTGGTTAGCTAAGCAGTCATTTGTATTGCCCATTTCTTTCTCCATTCCACAAAGACTTCCTAAGCACCTACTATGCACCAGGCACTGTTCTAGACACTGAGACTACAAAGAGAGCGAGACTGACAGAAGTATGCCTGTGCCTGTGCCTGTGAGTGGGCAGTGACTTGGTGGCCTTGAGTTCTGGGTGCCTTGTTGTTCCCCTCTGTCCCATCTACCTGTGCCTGGCATAGGGGTACGAATAAGCTCTGGGCCCCACAGGTGGATTCCAGTCCTGGCTCTGCCCTTACTCCCTGGATGGCAAGTTGGCTCACTTCTGTGAGCCTCAGTGTCCTCATTCATAAAACGGGAGGGCAGTTGGGAGGGCCAAATAATCAATGCCGGCGACTTCCTAAGCACCTACTATGCACCAGGCACTGTTCTAGACACTGAGACTACAAAGAGAGCGAGACTGACAGAAGTATGCCTGTGCCTGTGCCTGTGAGTGGGCAGTGACTTGGTGGCCTTGAGTTCTGGGTGCCTTGTTGTTCCCCTCTGTCCCATCTACCTGTGCCTGGCATAGGGGTACGAATAAGCTCTGGGCCCCACAGGTGGATTCCAGTCCTGGCTCTGCCCTCACTCCCTGGATGGCAAGTTGGCTCACTTCTGTGTGCCTCAGTGTCCTCATTCATAAAACGGGAGGGCAGTTGGGAGAGCCAAATAATCAATGCCGGAAAAAGACCCAGCACTGTGGCCAGCACTACCCAGAATGCAACAAATGGCCTTCATCCACCCTCTGCCACCATCTGCCCTCACCATGACCCCCCTCCACAGGCTGGAATCTTGCCCTTCCTTCTGACTTCCTGGGGCTGGATGCAGCTTTGCTGACAATAGCCAAGCTGCCTTCTGGACCCTGGAGGATGCTGGAGAACTTTCCTGTGAGCCATTTGCCCCCTGATGGCAGGGTCACAGAGGTCTTAAAACCTGAGATCAGAGAAAGAAGAGGGGGAAAGACAGGGGCCGTATATGAGGAGCTAGTCCCAGCTGTTGGCAGAATTCCTTCCCAGACAGGGACAGATAGGACCTGTCTCCCAGGGTCTGGATTGCTTGAGTGCCTAGGGTTGGAGCTGACACCAAGGGTGAGGAATTCATGTGACCCTGTCACTCCAGTCACTTCTTTCTGTGGCCAGGAAACGACGGACGTGACAGGTCAACCGACGGGGCAAGTGACGACAGGCTCTCTGTAACCTTTATTTAGATCTGCAGCCCCTCCCCCTTCAGGAAGGGGCTAAGGGAATGCTCTGAACATTTATGAAATGCCTTCCGTGCAACCAGGTCTTTCTGCAGTCTCACCACTGGGTGAACGAGAATCTCTGTTTTAGCATTGAGAAAACTGAGGCTCAGAGAGGTGAAATAACTTGCTGAAGTCTCTCAGCAAGACCAAGGCAGAGGAACTTTAGAAAGCAGGTTCCTCTGATTGTTATTTTTTATTTTTTATTTATTTATTTATTTTTTTGGTCTTTTTTCGTGTCTGGCAACAGATCGCAACCCTCAGTGTCACGCCCGCACCGGACCGGGACTGGCAACGGGATTG